TCCTAAAGTGACCCAAAATGTACAAAACGAAAAACATATTGAACCTGTTACAGATCAAATAGACCTTATATCTATTCAGATGGACTTTAGACCCACCATTGTGAGTCAAATGAAGGAAAATGGTAGTTTTAGGGAAATCCTGAAACTGTCAAAATATAAAAGGCATGTCTGTGTGTATTCCTATGGGGCAGTGGTGATAGAGTTAATATGGGACCTTCATATTGTCACAAGAGCTGTCTGTCTTTCCACCACATTTGCTCAGGTTCCTGCAGAAACAAGCACTTGCTGGTCTTTGGAACAGTGAAACAGTGAAGTACAGGAATGATCATATATGGGGCACAGAAGGAAGTCAGATTCAGAAGGTGTCTTGACAGAGACACGAGATCTGCACCTTGACCAAAGACCTATGATCTATGATAGACACGTGATATTGTTTGATATTACAAGTTTTTCCTTAAAAGCAAGTATCCTCCCTGCTCACTGGAACATTTTTTAAGACTTAATCATCCATTTATAAATGTCAGGCTATTTATGCATTTTGAGTTTAAAAATATAGCATAGAATTTAATGCATTCTTGCATTAAATTCTTCTTTGTATAGATTATACATGGAGTTAACTTTGTACAATGTATACAGTTAGGTCCATATGTTTTTGAACAAAGACACCATTTTTGCACACCACCACAGTGAGTTTTATATAAAGAAGGAATAAAATATTAAAATGAAAAAAAAAAAAGTGCTTGTAAGAATGGCTTCGGGCTTTAATTCAAGGAGTTTTACAAAAACATTGCTTTAACTGTTTAGGAATTAGATTAAACAGAGCTGCCATTCTCAGAGGCTTGAAATTTTCTAATATGATATAATCATATTTTACATCACTCACAGAGGTATTCATCTGCTAAATTAATATTTAACTTTTAAATCTTTGGAATTCAATCTCAATGCTTCTTCCACAAGGTGTTTTTAACAAATTGATTACAATTACAGACTTTGTGTAGTTTCAGCAATGCCACCCTAGAGGGCAGTAATCATTTCTTCCATCGCTAAATCGTTCTACAACTAAAACTGAATGCAAAAAACCCTTCATTAAAAAAAAAAAGCTAAAATATAATAAAATGAAATAAAATAAGCATGTGTCTTGTACACTGCTCTAAACAGCTAAATTTAACAATTTCAAAACTCATGACACTATTTCCAGGACTGGATTTAATTAGAATAAAGCTTAACACCTTGTAATAACAGGGTGTGGTCTGATGCTGGGCAGCCCTGTTGGATTAGCTCCAAGTCCCACAGCACTCGTCTCCTAATTACAAGCTGGTAAGAACAGTGCAAGCCTGTATGACTACTCATCCATGCTCCTGTGGGTATGCTACCATCCCTGACAAACAACACACAGTCTCACTCGTTGCTCCCTCACAACAGTTCTGTGGCAGTGGCAGCAACCTGCAGCAGGGCTTTGTTCCTGCTGCCTGTGTCCTTGCTCAGGCTGCTCTGTCCCATCTGCCTGTCACTGTTTGCCCCGGTTTCAGCAAAGAGGCTGCAGAGAGCTGCACTGCATCGCTGGATCAAAGCAAGACTAATGACTAAAGCAGAGCTGTAGCTACAGCACCAAGGCCCCAAGTGCTCCTGTTCACAATGCATTGCTGTAGTTAAAGCACAAGTGGACTAAAGATAGAAGAGCACAAGGCAGCAGCTTGCAAAACCACTCAGGTGTAGATGTGTCTGGTGAGAAGATAACACAAGATATCATAAGAACTCAAGAATAAAAGAGTACTTCATAGATATATAGGAAATTTCAACGGCACATTTTATGGATCTAAACGAAAAAAAACCTCAAATAAATAAATAAAAAAACCTTTATTTAACTGCATACAAAACAAGCTGCTTTTATTAGTACATTTTTTTCCTAGTATGGATTTTTACATTTGGATGTCAAGACCAGAGATCCACAGAAAGTTCACTGAATGATTGAAGGATTTCTTTAAAATTCTTTCTTTCTCTTCACCTTTCTGTGTCTCTGCTCACATTCTCCTCCTTCTCCTATCTCTTCCACCAACAAAAAGCTATTAATAGAACACCCTGCTCTCTCTTTTAAACTGCAGGGAGCATATTCCGTGCACTTAAAGGGAGGCAGAAACTGAAGATACCAGGAGGCATCTGAAAATGTCCTCTACACTGCCCGTGGCTACAAAGATGCCGGCTGTCCTAAGAATAACAACAAAGAAGCCTTTGATCGATTTACGGCATTTTGTATCAGCACAGATGCTCTTCAACTAAAATTAGCACCTCAAATCATTTTCAGACTAAATACCTTGTTAACATTGTGACGTGTGGGGAAAAAAAGGGTGGATAAACAGTTAAAAAACACCTCTGCTTGTACTGTGTTCATGCCAAAGTCAATAAAACACATGATTTTATGACCAAAAAGGGGCAGAAATGACACACAATAAACACACACAACACAATTTCAAATGAGTTATTATTGGCTTCATTATTGATATTACTTTTTCATGGTTATGATCATTTGGAAGGATTATATGCCTTTTTTTAAATTCTGCATGTTTTTCTTGTCCATAGATTGTCCTTTTTGTTGTAAAGTGCAGATAATACTATGTTTTAAATTCAGACTTCACATACAGTATATAGTACATGGTTTTTACTCCATCATCCATTGGTTACTATTTACATTATTCTGTCATAGTTCATTTCATAGAAAGAAAATCCATTATCCACTGTATCAACATTGATGGATGTTTTCAGGCCTCTATGAAATGGGGAGGACAAGGGAAGGGGGGGGGGGGAAGTGAACAACTGTACAAATTTCAGTGGATGCCACACTATCAGGCTCTGGGGTCGAAAGAAAAAAAAGTCTTAAACACACACATGCATTAAGATTGCATATTGACTGTATTGTTTCCTGTATGTATGAGCCTTGTCACACAGAGCTGACATCGCGGTTCAAACAAACCCCAAAGATCAGAGAGCTCATATTCACATTCAGCTAACATGTGAGTGTTTGACATACAGCAGCAGAATATTGCAAAAGTGTTTCATTTTTGCTTTGAGGTTTCTTTCAAATGCTTTGTCAGCTCTTGGGATCGACATGGAATTTATGCCCGATAAAACAGAAAAAATGTACTGAACCTTCTTTCCCCCCCAAACTACCAGCTAATAACAAATCTCTGCATAGATTTCTCAGTGTATTCACTGTTGGGCACCCTTCTCATGGAGTGGATTTGCTGGTGGGTCCCTCAGCAGGTGAGAGATGAAACTCTTAGAGGCTGTGGTGCTCCCCATAAAACAACACAACTTCATGTATAATTGACTTTGTTTAGACTGAAAAAAAAAAAAACATTGTGCAGATTAAATCTGTAGGTTTACAGATAAGCATGATTCTACTTGTCTTTGTGCTTTAAGCAGAAATAATTGCTGATATACAACTACAACATTGTGAACTCCAGTAAATGAGTTGCTACAGTGAAGTTGGCTGAGGTACAATAGCATGCCTACTGTCAAACAAATAGTTAAATGCTAACGTGTAACATTTATGTTAAATTTCTGTCCAACAAAATGGTAAAAAAAAAGAAATGACAATAGGATTTGACGCATTGGCATGCATAGACATATTTTTTGGTCAGACTGTGAGTGTTTTCGCTTTTCCCCACATACAAAGATATGCAAATGGCTGTTGCATAAATGCAGCTATACAACCAGGCTAATACACTGACATTCAGCAGTTCTCCTTCTCTCTCCCTCTCAGACTCACAGAGACACACTCATACACACACACATGCACACAGCTCAAACACCCAAACCAATACTCAACTATTGATCAATAAGCTCTTGGTTAAATTGTGGAGCTCCAAAGAGGTTAATTCTTTCTTTCTTTGCGTTTTTTAAAGAGATAGCGTGTATGCTTTTCACACCACCACCTCTACCATATGATCTTGAGAATGTTGCTAATCAGCTGGTTTTTGTTTTCGGTCCTACTTTGAGTTATGACCTTTTCAGGATCTCAGTCCACCTTCAAGCTACTCTTAAAAAAGCAACACATGCAGTTTACTTACTAAAATCCCCTAAAAATGTTTTGAAGATACAGAAAAACAGATTTGGACAAAGAGAGGATGTCAGAAGCCTCGGGTCAGGCAGTTGGACGAGCACATATTGGCAGCGATGTTGTTAAATCACTTTGCTCCTGCAGTTTGAAACTGCAGTGAGCAGAATGAAACCCTTAGAATAAAGATGTACATCCTGACATGACAGAATTCATCAAGACAGTTCTTGCTACAGACCTCCTCCTAATCCATCACCTTTCTAATTACAGAAGACATCCGTGAAAAGATGTAGAAAGGCAAGAGACTCGGATATGAAGTCCGAGGACCCTTGGGTTAGACAGTATCTGCTACACTACTGCTAATTATCACTTCCCATATTGATGTTACTGCCTTTGACTGTTACCTTGGCAGTGTTGAGCAAACAGTGGAAAATCTTACCTGAAAACAAGAATCAGAACCTAATTCACATTTGATGGTAACTTTTAAAGACAGATTGTGCTTCTGGCATCAGAGTGTTTTCAGCGGACAGCCAGACTCTATTTAGATTCTGGCCAATTTAATGTCAATAAAGGCTTTCTGAGAAAAGATTCTGGTTAGGGATGACACAGTTCAGTACCACACTGCGTCTTTCAACAACTACTTCACAAAAGGCAGTTTTGTATAAAGTGAAGCAAACGTCTAGTGTCTAAATCCAGGACGTGTATCAGGTTTGCTGAGAACTCACCAGCAAAGAAAATGGCTAGTGGAAGTGTGTCTTTGGCACTCCAGACAGGCTCCGACACAGGTGAACAACAGTGTTCATAATTATCATTTAAAAAAAATAAATAACATGGCAATGATCTGCACATTGTGGAAAGACTCTTGCTTTCTCTTAAAAGTTTGATATTTTAGGTTTTTTTTTTATTCTCATAAAAGTATATGAGCATTATATATATGTGTGTGTTTTGTCAGTATACATTTACTGTTTTATACATAGGAAATAAATATGTCTATTGTAATAATTATACTCTTTTTGTCTTAGAGGCTTCTTCTTTGAGCTTAAACACATGCTAGGAATGTTTCTGAGGTCATGCAACACTAGGAGAGTAGCGTAAACCCAGATACAAGGCAGTTTGGGGGAAGCATTTTTCTATACACTAGTCCTTAAAAGTTAGTATTTTGATCGTGAGGACGTGATCATGTGACAAACCTGTGAGAAAAAACACCACTGCAAGTCTATCACATCTGCAATTGCGATAAATGTCCAAAACTAGGGTGTGAGTTAACGCTCAAAATCACAGCTCGTAGCTCAGTTTACAGCGACCTGGCAAAAGTTAATTGGTAATGACTTCTACGTGGAATGTTAATATTGACAAGGATACCATATCCTGTTACATGTAGGATTTGGCTTTATGATTATTTCTTAAGAAATCCTCTGACATAGAGTTTTAGGTTCTTGTAACAGCTACCTGCAGGCATCCTTTTAAAAGTGTGGATTTGTACAGAAGGCAGTGTGCAAACAAATATACAGTGGTGTGATGAAGCAAGTGGCAGTCGAGAAACAAGTGGAAATTTCTCAGTCAGATAAAAATGTCATGCAATTATCTACTGACTACGTTTACTAATAACAGCACCTACCTACTGGCTATCAGATAAGTCACAGTTAGTCTACCTATCTATATATGAATAAGTACTTTATGTGTGAAACTGTGGAAAACAAACAAAACAAGAAGAAACATTCAAGTTGTCCTCAAAGCTCTGCAGTAAGACCAGTTTGGGTGAATGGAGGGAGAAAGCTTGCATTGCAATACGTACAGTACATGTAAGACCAAAGCAGTGAAAATTCAAGGCCATTCTCAGTCATTCATCAGATACTGATGTCTACTGGGAACAAAGGTGTCAAACCATGAGCTTAGTGCTGATGGCTGTCATTCATCCTTGAAATTATGTGGTGTACTTAACCACCAACCTCGTCACAAGTCACCCACAGGCCGTGCCAGCGCTGGACTGGGCTTGCTTTATGCTCGCACGTCCTTTTTATCTCTAAATAGTGTAGCACAGGACAGTTTTGTTTCACTGGCTCCAGGAAGCAGCATATGTAGCGCACAAGTAGGGCTCTTCAGAAGCGCATGGCAGAGCAGTGTGCCTTGGGAAATGAGGGATCAAGGGACAGGGGACTTAAGCGGGACTTGTGTGACTTTTTTTTTTTTCATTTTGAAAGCGATTCTTTTCTCACTGTGTTTTCTCCACTTTCTTTTTGTGCACTACTACTGTGAGCGGGAAATTTGTAGGTCTTATCATTTACTTTTCAAAACAGTCACACAGAAGAAAGCCAACTCCATGCAGAAATGCTAAATTTTCAATTTCCACTCATTAATGAGGAGTTTTAAGGACAAGCTGTGACGAGTGAAGACAGGATGGGCGTAGAAGAAGTGAATGGTATTTGCAATATTTTTCAGTCAATCATCAACAGCATGAATTCTATTGCCTTGATATTTTCAGCACACATAAGATGGGAGGATGTATGCCTGTCCCACCCAGATGCTCAGCTCCACATTTCCCACTGTGACAGGGAGGAAAATATAAGATGACTACACATCTGTAAGCATTTTGGTGATGTTTACATAGTTTGTGTTGGCCAGCGTGCAGTTGGCTGTCTTTAGGTTCTCCTCCTGAAAGTCCTCGTTGCTGTTGTTCACAGCCTCCTGGATCTCCATATAGTCCGATTTACTGATGGTGGAGCCACTCCGACTCTTTTTCAGCTCCTCCGCTGAATCAGCTTTGGTCACGTTGACCTGCAGATACTGCGCCTGTTCTTCACCTTCAGTCTCACGGTGATAGAAGTAGTTAAAATTTGACACAATGACAGGCACGGGCAAGGCAATGGTCAGCACACCTGCAATGGCACAGAGGGAGCCCACAATCTTGCCACCAATCGTGGTTGGGACCATATCACCGTAGCCGACTGTTGTCATTGAGACCACAGCCCACCAAAACGCATCTGGGATGCTTTCAAACTGTGACTCTGGCTCATCTGCTTCAGCAAAGTAGACAGCGCTTGAGAATAGGATGACTCCTATGAAGAGGAAAAAAATGAGGAGGCCAAGCTCTCTCATGCTGGCTTTCAGGGTCTGACCCAAAATCTGAAGCCCCTTAGAGTGACGAGAGAGCTTAAATATTCTGAAGACTCGCACCAAGCGGATGACCCTGAGAATGGCTAAAGACATGGCTTGCTGACCTGCTTGACCATCCTCTGGTCTGTCTGCTAGCTCTGTGCCAAGAGTGATGAAGTAAGGGATGATGGCAACAATATCAATAATGTTCATTATATTACCAAAAAATCCTGCTTTGCTGGGGCAGGCAAAGAAGCGCACTAGAAACTCAAAGGAGAACCATATAATGCAAAGAGTCTCTAGGATAAAGAAGGGGTCAGTGAAGTAAGTGGCTGTGTAGCTGATGATTGTGGTGTTGGTCTCAGGCGAAAAGACTTCTGCTTGAGACTTATGCATTTCCTCTTCATCATTACGGAAAATGGGCAGTGTCTCCAAGCAGAAGCTGACTATAGATATGAGGATGACCATGACAGAGATTATGGCAATAATCCTTGCAGGACCTGAGCTCTCTGGGTACTCAAACAGTAGCCATACTTGTCTCTGAAACTCGTTGTCAGGAAGAGGGCGCTCCTCCTCCTTGATAAAACCCTCGTCTTCTCTGAACATCTCAATTGCCTCCTCACCCAGCTCATAAAAGCGAATCTCCTCTGAGAAAATATCTACGGTGACATTGACTGGCCTTCTTAGTCGGCCTCCTGATTGGTAATAATACAATATGGCATCAAAGCTGGGTCGATTTCTGTCGAAAAAGTATTCGTTCCTTAGTGGGTCAAAGTACCGCATCCTTTTTTTGGGGTCCCCCAGCAGAGTCTCTGGAAATTGGGAGAGCGTTTTAAGTTGTGTCTCAAAGCGCAGCCCTGAGATGTTGATGACCACCCTCTCACAACACTCATGGTCAGCCTCTGGGTCGTAGTCCTGCGGGTGACCCGGGTGCGCCGCCGCCTCGTCAGAGGGGTCGGCTGTGGCAACAGTCATTCTGCGGGGGGAGGAGGCCTGCACTTTTCAGTGAGTCTGGGTCCTGCAGCCTGAAGAACTGCAGGCGGAGGCCAGGAGAGGGAGGGGGCTCAACACTGTAAAGACCTGACGGCCACAGGATGTCACCTAGGATCTGACTGCATATAGAACAGAGAAAGCAAAGACAGACAGCAAGGTCAGGTAAACCTATGACATGATTCAGCACTCAATACTTTTTACGTTTAGTGCAGAGATGTAAGGAGTTTGCGTAAGCCTGAAGATCAAACAACTCAAAATAGAAGAAAATGAAGCCACCCTCTAAAAACTGTCATAAGATCCGATATGAAATTATGTAAAGTTAGACTGTCATGAGAAAACTGTCAGAGCTAAAATGAACAAGTGGAAACTTGAGGATGTCACTCCTGCTCTTGACTTTGGAAAATTAATATGTAAATAAGCAACCCGCCTTGCATATAAATTACTTCAATGCAGGTAAATGCAGGGGCTAAGGGGCAAATAACACTTACAGGAGCTCATAAATTAGGACACTAATCTGCTGCAATGAACAATATGTGTTGAAATGAATGGGAATACCTTTTCTAGTGAAGCCAAGCATGAATATGGCAATGCAGCAGACACCAAATTCATACAGACAGCTTCCTGTCTAGAATATCATCGAAAACCACTGCAGTCTAAACACCAATGTATGTGACATGCTTAAGATTCACTGTTGTGCCAAACAAATGCAATACACAGCTGCAACATAGACATGACTTCAGTCTAGTTTTGATGGAGCATTTTAGTCTTGAAATGGTGCCTGTTACTGAAATATTCAAAAACATCTATAAATAATTTATCCATAGAAGGAAAAAGGTTCCAAGAGAAAAACTGTATCTCTCCTCTGCATCATCTCCACTCACAAAGTAGGAGCACAGTTTTATAAAATAAAATAATAACGCTTATGACACACACAGCAAATACATAACTACAGGTTTACTGGTCACTATACATTCTTCTGCTGCAGCGCAAATCATTCCGCCAACTACAAAATGCTACGACTCGTGTTCACATTTAATGGAAATGGAAATGATAGGTAAAGCTGCTTTAATTTCATACATACGTGCAGACATCTTTTTTCCCATCTGGATGTGATTTGATGCTCCTGCTGGACGCTGGTATTAGGGAAGTGAATAACCAGCTGCGCTCACCGGGCGATCTGATTCCAGTGCAGGTATAAAATGAATTTCCAATTTGGGACAGTCGATGATATTCACCTCATGTTGTCTGCGGCATCCTTGCCGTGTACACCGGGTACAGTATGTGCGGGTGTGTCCTCGCTTTCCCCTCCCCGACTCCTTTCCTCCGGGTACGCTGTCGTGGGATGGCGATTGGCAAAAAAAAAGAAAAAGAAAAAAGAAAGGAAGAAAAAAAAAGGAGGAGGGAACCGATCAAGGAGGTGCTGGTGCTTCCCTTAATAACCAAAGGTGCTGGGATCAGCAGAAAAAATCTTCCACCACTGTTCTCCTCCACGCATGTATGACTGTGTGACGAGCTGATGGCTGCAGACAGCCTCAAAGGTAAATAGTCCCCATAAGGTGCTCAGAAAGGCAACATCTGCAAAGGGGGGGACAAGGCGAGGCGCGGGGGAGGAAGGGAGCTTAAAAATATAATCTTATTACCACGATTTAATAATTTGAAGGCGTGTGAAAATAATTTGGTTGCTCAGAAGAGTTAATCTATGCATGCGTCAGACAGTCAATTTACATTTTTATTTATAATTTAGGCATAAATTAGCATCTCCACCAGATTCCAGACTGAGATGCAGACATGCTCAGGCAGTGCATCCCAGTATCTAATGCAGAGACAGTTCTGAGAATCTCCTAATAGCCTACATGGTGAGCAGAGCAGCCTCCTCAGACACTGACTTGAAACGACATGCGTGAAAGAACCGCCCTACGTAGTGGGCTAGAAGATTATGCAATTTCACTGAGCAGGAGACCCACGCACACACGTGAACACACATGTAAAGTGGCCTTTATGGCCCCTGCATGGTGTCAGCACGGTGGGAGGCGAGAGATTTTTACATGAAGAAAAAAAAAACTTTCTGGGCAAAATATCTCTGTTGTCAGCTTCGGCCGCAGGACTGGTATATAAAGCTTAGTCAAACCTGCAGTCAGGCATTGCTATGCATACCAAGAGACGGGCTGGTGATGGAGAAAGGCAAGGGCGGAAAAACGCGCTCCCCATCTGCACTATAGCTTAGCGCTCACCTTATCTGCAGTATGGGCAATTTAAAGGGGTACGCAGCTCCACCACTATTCAGCTGATGGTTAAAAGATGCGATCTTCTCAAATTGCAATGCCAAAATTAAGAGTAAAAAAAATATTCATTTCTGCATATTTAGTTTATCTTCGAGAAGTTTTCAGGCATTTGATAAAAAGCTGATATATCAACTTGTGGCTACTGTTTTAGGAAATATGTGAGCATGTTCATGCATAACTGTTATTGCAGAAACAACATAAATGCTTGTGGGAGGAGCTTTTTTGATAATCTTTGTTCTCTTGTGCGTTATTAGTATAGTGGAAGTAATAACAGCTTTACTTCTTTTTTAATGCCTGTTCATGGCAGTTACACTCGCAGTCTTTCCTGGCAACACAATTCATGAATAATAGATAGAACAGAGGGACTAAAATAGAGCAAATCCTCCATCATTGCATTTTGCTATATTCAGAAAAAAGAACAAACTCTGTCCTTTCATCACTATTGATACCTGAGCTGGGAATCAATACTGGAGCTGGGAATGAAAGCGCCGTGGCCAGAAGTGACCTCCTCAGAAGCCAAAGGTCAGTGGGATTCCCTTGGATGAGCAAGGGAGGGAGGTGATTCAGGAGAAACAGGCAGTGGGGCAGACAGCAGGATGATTTGTGTGAGACCTGACTCTGCCAAGGCTTGTCCTGCCAGACCCCGAGACCATCATGGCTCCCAACCTCTTCCCTGCTGTCTGTCTGCATGCCTTCCTGCTGCCACACAAGCTGATACCTCTCTGTATCTCATAATGGCTTTCCCAGGTTAGTTATGACAGCATGGTCATTATTTATGAGCTGGGGGCCTGTTAGAAAGACTGCAAATGCTGTCTTTGAAACTCATTTTCTTACTATTAGGTGTTTTTCTTAAATTAAAAAGTGAAGGTTGTCTACACTCTAAATGCTCTGTGTGCCTTAATCATATGGGGATGTTCAAATGGCTGGCTGGCTGTATAAGTTGGCAGGCAAGGGTGTCAAGAATGAATTTGTTACCAAGAGGTATTGATTTCAGCATCTCCATCAGATGTTTTTTTTGGCTCACTGACATGCGGAAGAGAAAATAAACCTGAGAACTGAGAGACTGAAGGGTCATTCTCACTGATGGATTAGAGGACCAATATGTATATATACATTTGTATATATATATATATATATATATACACCAACAAAAAATATATACCTACAAAAAATGTTTTTTAATGTTTGTAATGTTTTTTTAAGAAAGGTAGGTAGCTTCAGAAATACTGGAAAATCACTGGAGGATTAGCTGTATTTAGTGTTTCCAGGTGACACAAAAGTGAGCTTACAGTGTAGCAATTGGTACTGCCATTTAGCCGGTACAGTCCCTGGAGTGCAGTGGTCTTTTTATTGATGCTGGAGGTCTGTGATGCCGCCTTACTCCTTCATACTGCATTGCAGCAGCCACAGGTTTCCAGCACACACACAGACACACACAGGAACAAGGTTTTAAACATAGGGTCCACCATGGATCTCTTCAAAACCCTGACCTGCCTATTACAAGCTCCATAATAACCAACATAATGTGATAAGATAGAAAACAGGAGAACAGACGAGATCGGGCGTGTTCAGGGTTGTATGGCCGTAAGCCGTAAAAAAAAAAAGATAGAAAACAGGAGGCTGCATATCGCATTCATGTTTGGATTTTCTGCTGCATTAATACAGATTTTCTGCTTCCAGATATGATGATGCAACACTCTCCTGTGTAATTCCTCATTAACAAATTCTGTCATGCAAAATCATCAACAAGACTCCTAGAACAAGAACCTTGCACTAAATCTTATCCTATATATTTTGTGAATTTTCTCCTGATTCTTTTCACTCCTTGGGCTATAGAGCAGTCCAACAATTTTGCTGCTAAAGACATTTTTCCAGTGCATCTTCAGTGAGACTCAATTTATTTGACCCTCTGGGAGATGAGTCATTTCAGCATTGCTGCTCAGGAACTGAGTTGCCCTGCAAAAGAGGCAGGTTACACATACAAATATGGGACCAGGAATGTGGACACAATAAATAAGTGGCTATGGTACATGGCTATAAAGCAATATAGCCCCTTTTGTCCTTAGTGTCCCCTGGAGCTAACAGTACATCTGAGGTAGAAATGGAGAAAGGGAGGATAGGAAGGACGGAGGACTCTGTAAAGAGAGGGAGGAGAAGAAAAAGGGAGGGAAGGAGAGAGTCATGCTCGTCAGATTGAGGCCCAGCAGGAAGAGGGCAGATGCTGGAAAAGAGCCAGACAACAGGAGAGAGACAAGGACACTGGCCCACTGCGGTATACTGCCAAGCTCCAGCACTCTTAGCCAGATCTCAGAAATATGCACATACGGCCACTACACAAGTTAATTTCTCAAAACTTACAGGCTTGTAGATTACCTGTAGAAGTTTGTAACGTAACAAAGCATGTATACTGCATGAGTTATGTTTCTGTCATGCATACAAAAGTTAGTACATGCATCATTTTGCATACACAAGAACACCTGCAGAAATGACAGGAGTACGGTCCTGATGCCGTAGGCCCCGGTCTGTATGGGCCTGGGCTCCCTTGCCTTGGTGGGTGCCGAAGGACAGGCGTGCCTACTGGGGTCAGCGGGGGAGTTGGCCCAGGGAGGGGCATCTTGCTCCTCCCTTCTTTTCCACCACATCCCCGGCTGCCTCCCTCTTCCTGCTCCAACACACCCACCCACACAAGTAGGGCCTTGGGGTGCGGGTGTGTCACCAGGGTGCAGGGGAGGCATCGTGTATTTAACCCCACCTCTAGCACCAGTGCCCACCTCTCAATTTTAAATCCATGTAGACATTGAGGATTCTCGGGAGGGGCTGTGCTAACACCTTCTGCTCTCTGGCAGCAGCACCATGCTCTCCCGTGTTTTAAATGCACCTTAGAACAACACGACGCAACACTACACATGAGCGAGAGGAGGGAGGTTGGGGTCTTCACACACCCCTGTTCTCTGCTGGCCATTGGGGCGGGGGGGCTGGGAGGAGGTGTTGGCCATCCGATTGGGATCTGGGATTCGGGGCCTCCCTGCTGCTGCGGAGCCTGGGGTGGTCTGCTTGCCTCCACCCCGGGGGAAAGGGTAACATCTCCTGGGTCTAGGTGCCGTTTCCCCCTCCAGGGGCAAGGGTACCTGGACCCGGGGTATAGAGTTTGTTTGGGGAGTGTGATTGTGTGTAGAGTGTCCATGTATGTCTATCCCTACATTGGGTGAGTGCTGAGTATTTGTATATGTGTGTATGAGGGTGGGAATGCATGATTGTGTCTGTGTGTGTTTTTCTCTTCTTTCTCTTTTTAAGTGCCCTTTCTCGCTGTCCCTCTTCCCTTCTGTTTTTCTTTTCCTTCATCTTTCTTTCTCCCCTTCCCATCCCTCAGTCATGTCTGTCCCGTCTGTAACAACTGAAAATAAAATAAAATAAAGAATAACAACAAAGGTCGATCAAATGGACCAATACGGCAAGGCCGTGATGATCCATTTGGCAAAGTAAATCCACTGGGTATCCTTGTTGGTCTCCAGACAACAATTCTGACGGCTAAAGAACCAAATGGGACAGGCAAAAAAAAAGAAAGAAAAAAAAAAGAAATGACAGCAGTAAACTGCCCAAAACATTTTGACTCCATTCAGTTCTGTAAGCCACCCTGCTGCTGAAAGGAAGGTCTATGAGTCAGTAAATGAGTGAGTCAGTGTCATTGTTGCAGGATACTCTGATGTTGCATTATACAATGCTTCTGTATGACAAAGTGAAACTTAAGTCAAGGTAAGAGCTTGCAGGAGCACTAGGTTATATTACACCAAGGTCAGAGAAGAAATAAGATACTCTGTGTATCGGGGTAAGAGGGTAAAAATAAAACTTTATGTCAGTAAATGTAAGCTTTCTTTTACATGCACAGGAAGGCTCTGTAAATCAAAGTCATTACTTTGTTATCCACCCTTGAATATTTTGCTAAAGTGAGGTTTTGCATCCTTTTTGTAAAAGTTGAAACGGTGCATGAAAGAATTTGCTTTTTAAAAAACGTGTGTATTAATGTCTGACTTCCAGTGCTTGACAAAAAGTGCAGCACAGGTGACCATTATCAGATGTGTGGGATTTACAGTGACAGCTACTATGTCACTGATGATGCAATGCCCTGGTTTTTGTTTGCAAGTGAACCAAAACATGTGCCCCTGCCTTAAGCAGGAGTCTGGTCTGCAGTCGACAATGCTGCTGAGGGATGCAGCAGCCACTCTGAGTCACAGGACACCTGAGCGGTGAGTCAGGGCTGCACAGTTTCCAGGGTCACAGTGCTTCAAACTTCGAACCTCACTCAGACGTGACTATTCTTTGTTGATCTAATTCATCATAGATATGTTGAGATAAGGACAATCCTAGAAATAGTATCAATACCAGAAGAAATTGTCCCAAGTCAGCATTGTCGCTGTAGCTGGGTGAATCGTTTGCACAGCCTCCTACGGTTGCTACAGAAACCATTTCTAGGGGCAGCAGAGGGAGGATTTGGACTGTGACATCACTACAGCATTTTTGGTGCCAACAAGATATTTCAGGTAAAGTTACAGCATGATGACAAAGCACATTTTATCCGCTTGCAGTCAGGTGGATTAGTTAAATATAAATGTGTTTAGGAAAAGTGTGAAGTCTGTATTTTCCATCTTTCCTGTTTCACACTTTCACATCTGGTGCATGTTTTACAGCATATGGTGCAGTACCCTACATTACACTACAGTACTTTGACTCCTAGCTTTCTGTGTGGCCTGTGGGGGGATGGATATACGTATGCTTTCTCTAATATGCTTTCTGGGCTTTTCCTTGTCTCACTGAAAGCTCTGAACACTGAGTCTTGATGCAGAAGAGTGAACTTTATGAATAGCCCCCAGAGTGCCATTATCTGTTCTCAAAAGAGCAGATGGATGAATGGCACCGAGAGAAACAATGGCAATATGTCTCATAGTTTCTATTTTTGGCAACACTGAGTTACAGTTTTAGGGCAAATACCGTACTATAAAAAACATATCATCAGCGCAGGAAGGAAAATGTCCAGTGCTGTGAGTAATTGTACCGGACACCGCCATTTCTCATCTGGGTGCTTCTATAAAGTTCAAGGATGACATGAGGCAGCTCTCCTGGCAGACACTCCCCATGTTGGCATGCTGGGTATCATCAGAGGTAGCACGCTGCTGTGAGGCATGACTCCTCTCATGTGGAGAATGTTGGCGTGATGAGGGCAGCAAAGAGATGAGAGAAAAGGGAAGCTCCAAACAGGTCTCCTCCAAACCCCCCACCCAGAACTGAACACAATCCTGGATTTGCATCTTTGAATCCGCCTGCAGCAGCAGAGTCGGAGAGAACCAGCCGTGGAGCTGTCTGCGATTTTCTGTCTGTGTGTGTTTGTGTACTATGCATGTAAGCTCAAGTGTATGCACCTTCCCCTCCCCAGTGCTTTCTTTTTTTCTAATGACCAAGATCCCACTACTGAGTGCAGTGAGGTATACCAGCTCTCACTGTCTTACAGCTGTGGAGTACTCCAGCATGCTCATTCCAACCACATGGACATCCACAGAGGAGAAGTGACACAACTTGGCACATATATCAAAGCCATAAGTGTACATTAAGGATGAGTAGTTATTTGGATTTTAATTCTTGGTCTGCAGTGAATAGAAAAAGAAGATACAACGATACAGAACAAGATTTTATGTTTGCATATTTGGCTTTTTTTTTTTTTTACATTTACATTTCATTTAAGTAAAAAGTACAAAAGTACGACATGTATTGAAAAAGGTCCTGAATTGTAAATAAATAGGTTGACATGTTAATCTTTATGTATTTGTTGTCATGTTCCTATATTCTTAGCTCTAAATGCAGAAATGAACAATCCAGTGTTTTATCAATTTAGAGCATAACAACACCGATCTCCTAATAAGATAATCTCTAATGTCGTTCTTACCTTTCACAAAACATTAATAGAAGATATGTTGTACTGGAGATGTATCTTGAAAGCACAGCTGTCGAGCTTTGTAGATGATTAATGGTAGTGGGTAAATCACAAGCATCGTTTCATTTTCTCCTGGTTAAAAATACATTAAAGAAGGGGGAAAGAGAAGGTACAAAACCACTCAGCAGTTCTGAGGCAATGCACCTGGAGCTGCAGGACACATGGTGTCTTGTCTGCAGAACTGAGAAAACAGAAAACTCAGCAAAGAAGTGCCTAATGGTTAAACCAAGCCACCTTACTTTAAAGTATGTTTAAGGTGACTTTAAGTCATCTGTAGGTTTCTGTACCTTTTCAGATGTTAGGTTCACCTTTGTTACACATTTGTACTTGTGTTTCTGTGAAATCTCTAACAACAGCTTTGAAGAGAAATTAACTTGTTAACATGGATCAAATTTTATGATACCCAGGCGGTCTCAGTCAATTCTGTGATAACACCATTACAAAGAAATACTTTTGTAGATCCCTTCAGAAAACATTACAAGCAGGAATATATCAATTTCATGATATAATCATAGCAACCTTTCTGAAAGGCATTTCACAAGGCTATTGTTACATCCCTTTGCTTTTTCTTGGTTAATGTTTCATCATTTTGTTTATTTGTTTCAATGCTGCACTGGGAACACAAGATATGGCTTTAAAAGCAACAGTCCGGAAACAGGATAGCATACTGCAAAGTCAATTTCAAGCAACCTTGGTGTCCTTTTTAGTGCTTGTGCAAAGTTTTTTCCTTTTTTCCCTAGCTCTAGCTTGCAAACTGTAATTCTCTTTGTCTCATGGGAAACATGAGAATTATGGGTCACACTAGACGCCTCTGGATTTTAAAGTAGTTTCCTGACCTGCACAACAAATCCCAGATGGTCACATTTGCTGGTTCTAGGACAAGACACTGTATCTTCCTCAGCGGTGCACGTGTAACAATAGTAAAAATAACAATAATCATTGCTAGATTCACAATTTTATCTTCAGCAAAAATAATATTTTTATCTTCCACAGATTGAATATAATCCATAGATGCACATACAAAGTACTTGTAAGTGGTTCTTCCTCACTTTACCACAAAAAGAGTTTGCAGATAACATGAAAGCAATAAATTTCTTCAATGACAATAAATTATTGTTCTTACCATAAAGTCTAATTTTATAAGGCCTATCATTTTCAATGTCTGTTGACAAGATGATGTGAATATAGCCTTGAGGTCTTAGTGTTGACTTTATACAAAAGATGATTAACCCTTTAAATTTATTATGTTATGCTAGTGTATGGAAAAATGGAAATAACACCCCTGTAATCAGTCATAAATATATATAACTCAATATTAATGTTTCTAAAAATGTTAGCAAAAACATTTAATCTTCTTAAAATAGTGGCTCTGCATTTAAATTCCAGATACGTGCTGTCAGCCACCTAATAAAGTGATTTTTTACTGCTTCTTATTTCATTCACAGAGGAAAAAGGCACCATAAATTTAAACCTTTAATGAAGTTACTTCTTTTTTGGGATCGGTTCTTCATCTGATAGATCAAAGTCTCTTATGACAAACTTCCATAAATCTCCAGTAAACATAAACATAAATAGACTCGTTTAAGATTTTGTAAGGGTACTGGGGCTTAAAACCCACAATCAAAACCAGTCACAGATACAAAACGTTCAAAAGGTTTTTTGGATTTTTTTTAAAATTGTTAAAAATGCTGTGAGAGGACAATATTACATACAAGTTGGTCAAAAGAACACACTGACTATTTGACAAATCTTTAAATGTGTATAAAGGCACCATATACCACATATTCACCCCTCAAGACTCTATCTTCCAAGTTCAATGTTTAAGACCTGCCTGAAAGCAACAATTGTACTGAGCCACTAGAGGGCAGTACTGAGCTATTTACAGGTCTATTTCGTCTATCAAGGTTCCACACCACGCATCAATTTTGAAATCAAGCATGACTCCACAGACTGTTCAGAGGCCTTAAAAACAAGTGAAGTACTTAATGATACATGATACATGATACATGATGTGTGATGTCCCAGTACATATTAAAGATGCCAATTACACGATACTGAGAGAGCTCCAGATCCTCCAAATAAAAATAATTAGATGTTAAATTTTAATGAGAAGATTGTTTAGCCAATGTATATATTTTTCATACCTTTGCTAAAAAAAATCGGCCTTTAAATGTTAAGGTGTCACATTTTAGTTATGCTATTCTAAAGATTAAATCATTAATCATTTAATATAGAAAATGATCAACAAGTGAATCTATATGAAAAGAACTACAACTCAGCTCTAAAATTAACAGAAGCAAAGTCATAATTGAACTTTTGTAACTGAACTTTTGTAAACTTCTCATTTATGATGCAAACACTCATGTATTATTAGAGAAAATGCTACTCTGTAACGAATTGTTGGACTGACTGGAGTTTTGCTTTCTGTTTAGCTACACTGTACCAAAAAGCTCACGTGCACAGTTCTGCAGGTGGGAGATGAAAGGCAGCTGACATCCGTTGGTGTGCCAGCTCACATAATGGCGCTTTTACATCTGAAAAAGAGAGCAGCATTCAGCAATACAGTGAGACTGTAGCCTTTCATTGTGTTCATGTAATCTGAAGCTGTGGGCTTCATTTTCCCTAAATAGTTACAGTAATACTGCTGCTTGGTTGATTCTGCCTTAACCATCTTTAAGGGAAGCGATGAATCGCCAAACCCAACCCAAAATAATATGCACCATTTTCCCCTCCAAGGACAAGAAAGCAAAACAACAGTTTGTGAAGATGCAACACAATGCCACGGAAGCATGAGAGGGGGTTACCCAGGAAACCACCGTAGCCATGGAGACTGCATCACAAGGCGGTTCAACAAGCGGAAGGCGGCGATGCGCCGCGCGTTCTACCTCCCTTTATCCATTCTGTCATCACTGCGCACATGACCTCAATCACACAATTATTCACAGTTTTCTTGTTTTCATGCTCCTCCTGCTCGCTTTGGACAAAGTTTGCTAAGATGCAGCACATTTATTCTAAAGAATATACGAGTGACAGGTGGGACCTGAGTCAGTTCATTTGAGTTTTATTCAATATAGGCTATATAGGCAGTTCTGGATTAAAATACACTGTACGAAAAGCTCAACTCATATTTTATGATAAGCGTTTCCATTAACAGCACTCTGCGTTTTTATTACCTGAATAATAATCCGAACAACATGTGGACAGGTTATGATATTAAATATAACCGAAACAGGCATTGGGCTATATAAATTACCATAGTCTATTGATTTCCACGAAGCACAAGACGTCGTTTTTGGACTGGTGGGTAGATTCAGTAGAAGACTATATGCTACACGTCTATCCCAGTCATGAACACCAACAACGGTCGCATTATAACATCAAGATATGTAGGCATCGTGTGGCTTTATACGCTGAAAAATGTCTGTTTTAACAAGCTTTTTTTATTGTTATTATTTCCTCTGATTTGAAGCAAACACTTTTCTGTGCGTGATTTTTTTTCTTTTTTTGCTCAGGTTAATACTTGTTGATCACGGAGAAACACTGAAAACAGAAAAATCCTCACTGAAGTATTTTTGTATCGTTTCCATTTCATTCGGTGCAAATAAAATAAAGATTAATACCTTGTTAAAACAGAAGTTTGCAGCTTTCATCCACAGATATGGACTGACACGTTACGAGTGGCTATATAAAAATATTATAGGTACTGTCTCATCATGCTTCATAAATGATCCATGGCGGGGTTCATTTACACGTCCGTGAAGATCTTTTTGATGTTCACGCAGTTCTGGTTGTTTTCGGTGGTGAAGTTGGGTTGTTTGAACGCACTGTTGATGCCCTCCTCTATCACCATGTACTCTGACTTGCTGAGAGATGAGGAGCTGCACGACCTCCTCAGCTCCTCTGAGGGGAGGTGCTCACAGCTACCTGTAGTGTGATACTGTGGGTACTCCTCTCCATCAGTCTCTCTGTGGTAAAAGTAGTTGAAGTTGGACACAATCACTGGCACGGGTAAGGCAATGGTCAGCACGCCTGCTATTGCGCACAGAGAGCCCACTATTTTACCACCAATAGTGACCGGATGCATGTCCCCATAACCAACTGTGGTCATGGTGACAACTGCCCACCAAAACGCATCTGGTATGCTGGAGAAACTTGAAGTGGGGTCGTCTGCTTCTGCAAAGTAAACTGCACTGGAGAAGAGAATAACACCGATAAAAAGAAAAAATATGAGCAAGCCAAGCTCCCTCATGCTGGCCTTGAGGGTCTGTCCCAAAATCTGAAGTCCTTTTGAGTGTCGGGAGAGCTTAAAAATACGAAAGACCCTCACCAATCTTATCACCCTCAGGATGGCGAGGGACATCGCCTGCTGACCGCCGTTGGTTTGCCTCTCGGCCAGCTCTGTCCCCAGAGTGATAAAGTAGGGGATTATGGCGACGATATCAATGATATTCATTATGTTTTTGGAAAAGGTAGTTTTGCTGGGACAGGCAAAAAACCTGACCAGCAACTCGAAAGAAAACCATATAATGCACAACGTTTCGATGACAAAGAAAGGGTCTGTGAATGGACTTGACGTGAAGGGAGCAGTGCCATTAACTGCGGGTGCCACTGTGGCTTGGTCTCTGTCATCCCGGAATTCCGGCAGAGTCTCCATACAGAAAATAACAATTGAAATTAAAATAACAAGCACTGAAACGATGGCTATCCCTCTTGCTGGCCCAGAGCTTTCAGGGTACTCAAACAAAAGCCAAACCTGCTTCTGGAAATCATTTTTGGGGAGGATGCGCTCCTCTTCTTTTATAAACCCTTCATCCTCGCGGAATTTCTCCATGGCCTCCTCACCGAGTTGGTAAAACCTGATCTCCTCTGAGAAAATATCAATGGGAACGTTAACAGGTCTCCGTATGCGCCCTCCTGACTGGTAGTAGTAGAGGATGGCATCAAAGCTTGGTCTGTTCCTGTCGAAAAAGTACTCGTTTCTCAGTGGGTCAAAGTAGCGCATCCTTTTCCTCGGGTCCCCCAATAGCGTGTCTGGGAACTGGCTGAAAGTTTTCAGTTGCGTCTCGAAACGTAAACCAGAAATGTTGATGACCACCCTCTCGCAGCATCCCTGGCGACTGCGCTCATATCTGTCCACCGACAGGTGAGGCGCTGAGAGCACGGCGGACTCCTCCAGCATGTTTTCCACCGTCATGACGCCCTTCTCCTCGGCATAACCCCGGTTGTCAGACTCGTTGCGTCCCCTGTGTCCCGCTGACGCGTGCGGAAGGATCACGCTGGAGGTCTGGTCATCCATACAGGTGGTTTTCAGTCTGGAGGAGCAGGGTGCGCCACGCCACTCCCAGCCAAAGCTTAGAGCTTTGGAGAGTTGAGGCCGACGCCAGTTACAGCTCCTCCAACCATCACCTATCTCTGCCTATCCACACGCTGAAGCGCTGCACTCCCCTCTGGCTTTTTTTCCCCAAACACGCCGACACCCACCCACAGCGCGCATATGTCTGACATACGTCCACCACCCGCCCAATCGGAAATTAACTTGACACTTAATGTCGAGCACCCACCCTTGTGTGGCGAGCCGAAAACACTTGATGAAATCAGATCCACACCTGTTAGATCCAAGTTTTATTCTTACGCTGTGAGCTCGTGCGAACCCGTTATTATCTTTATCACGTGGGAATGACAACAAATCAGCACGCCTGCCAGTTCCCTTTTAGCAAAAATAACATAAAGGGCACGAATCCAAAATGTATGCGATTCACCTCCAACACAAATGCAAAAAAAGAAAATCATAGAGGAAAGCAAAGTCCTCGTTCTAATCTTCAATTGAATCTTATTTGTCCTCTTTTCCAACAAAAACAAAACAAAACAAGTGTTGTTAGATACAGCTTCACTTTTCCAACAAAAATGACATCATAAGGATTTCGATAATCAACCGAAACAGAGGGATGTACCGGGGCAACTAAATACGTGCCGTTTTCAAGCAGCGCAGAAAATGAAATTCTTGCATTTCTGCCATGTGTCTTCTTTCTTGTTGAGGAGGTGTTGCTCTCCATGGTGCTGAAAACAAGCGCGCCCCAGTTGGTAAATCTATGCGCGCGCTCTTTATCAGCACTCAGCTGAGTTTATTACGTGCTCAATTTGTGTGTATTCGTTTATAGATGCTCTCCTGGATATTGCCAACATAGCACATAAGCTCCAGGATCAGTCACCTCATTTCCACTCGAAACGAGTGCCCTCACACACACACACACACACACACACACACAC